CCGGTGGGTTCTTCCCTTTTCAGATCTATCAGAAAATCCCAAGCACGGACCCTTCTTCTAACACGACCAAAGAGATCATTGCTTCTGTCCAGACAATGGTTTCACCAAACAGCACCATGGTGTCCTGTAACCATTACTCCTCCATCTACCTGTAGTACGCTATGTTTTTGGCAGCACTGACCTGGTAGTATGTGAACATAAAGTCAAACGTGTCCGAGGAGTGCATCCAGGCTGGAGAGAACTGAGGGGAGAGCACAGGTCGGTGGTTGGGCAACGTTGGGGGTTGTGTACTTTGTGTCTTCCCTGTTGAGGTGTTGTACTGAAGGTTTCCTGGTCAAAATATAACCTCTGAGACCTGATGCCATGAATGGATCAGGATGTCTGGAGGCATCACTTGGCCCAGAAGTATTGAACATAAGAATGGCTATTTACTTGGTCAGAGTATAGGTTCATCCTGCCCAGCAGCCTGTCACACAGAGTGTGTACAAGAGTTCAAAAAGCCTCTCATGGAGGCACTATAACTATGGTGCTTTACCCAAAGCGCCATGAGTTAGAGCACCATTGAACAAAATAGGCATTCCCCTCTTGGATAAGGGGCTCAGAGCCTGATTACACTGGCCCAGGCCAGCAATGGGGGTGCTCCAGCACCCTCCAAGGAGACTGCTGGACCACCCCTCTCCCCAGCCCTGTCCCCCAACCCCACACCAGCTCACAGCTGACAGCAGTGTCTGGGGGGGATGGGGTAGACAAAGTCCCCCTCCTGTGCTCCCCTTTCCCCCTCTGCTGGGGTATTAGGGGGAATCAGCTGCCGCCATCGTGATGTTCAAGTTGGGGAAGGGAGCCCTTCCCCAACTTGAACATCACGCACTGCCACAGGGGCCCAACCCAGGTCCCCCAAGATCCCAGCAAAGGTAGCTAGACTGAACCTGTAAGACAGGGAGGACTCCTTCCCGTCCCCCGCCCTCTCTTGCCCTCCCACCCCCAACACACACCCATCAGCTCTAGACATGGCAGCCACGAGACTACTGTTTTCAGGATCCTTGGCTGGGGGAAGGAATAGAGCTCCCCTACCATGTGAGTCCTGCCGAGCTACCCCAGCTTGGGTCTTGGGAGAGGGAGCAGGAAGCTGGGCCAGGCCTGCAAGTGGGGGTGGTCTCCATTTCTCCCCACAGCCCAGCAGGTTACATTTTCACACGATTGACCATTTTAAAAGTTCCTTGTAGCCACGAACATTGGTTGTGTTACAGTTACAGAGTGTCTTTAGGGGCTTCATCCCATGAAAAAAGGAACTCCTGTACCACCCCCACAGTGGCAGAAAATGGATGCTGAAAGGCAGTGTGAACTGGGTATGACCAGGGTTTTATCTGCTGTTCCTCTCTCACTTGCAGCCTCCAGGATTTAAGGTCTAGGAAGTTCTCATTCAGGGGCTATCTCCCTGACTCCTGTGCTCAATAGCTACTGATGCCCTTTTCCTCCAAGAATTCATCCAAACCCTCTTTTTGTGTGGCACACTGACTGCTAAGCCATGGCTTCGCTCCCACTGTCAACAATGCTGGTGTCATTGGGATGAACAGTTTCCAGAGAACTGTTTATGAGTCCGACCTTGTCTTCCTTAATGATGGTTTCCCTGCCTTCTGGCTAGGATATTTTTTTTTTACATGGAAACTGAAGTTGCCTTTACTTTGCTTGAGATTTTGATGCCCTATTTCCATAAAAAGCTGCGTGACGTGGGACTTGTGTTCTCCCAACTCCTTTTCTTATCTGTGTGCATGTTCTTATTCCCTCTTGCTTGGGAATTGGAGGAGATAGCAGTGTTTCCAGCTAGCGACAGGAAGGTAACACCTCCTATGACAGATGAAGTCTTAAGGACAGAGGGCAAAGCTCTGGCTGACTTCTGACTCTGCCTAGTATTGGTGGTTGTCCTAAAACACTGAGATGAGTGGGAAAGGTCTCGACAGTCCACTCTTGTACTAAAAGACTGTGCAGAGATGTCAGCCTTAACCATATGAGCTTTTATCATGAATCACATGTTTTAAGGTGCAATGATTTATTTAAAAGGCTCCTGTTTTCTTTTTGTTTTTGAAAGGTCTGAAATGCCAGCAGATCTCAGACAGCTTTGCAATGCGGATTTCCCCCCTACCCCTCCACCCCAGCATTGCTGTTCAGGGAGTGAGGAGAACCCCGTCGGTTCGGTAGTGATCCTACCCACCTTGCCCTGCCCCATCTGGTCTGAGCAAAGCCATGTTGGACCAGGACTGCTTGCTGGGTGCACAGACACTGTCCTGTAGTCCTGCTTCTCAGTTGCATGCACAGCTATTCCTAACAGGCTAATCCCGGTGTCCACTCATCCACAGGCCTTTGCACTGGTGGCACCAGCAGCGTCTTAAAGCCCAGAATCATGGGCTCTGACTACCATTGCCTACTGTTAGGATCTAGACTGAGCTACATCTTGCTTTCCATGAAAAGCTTCTGCTACCAGGAGCAGCCTGTTCTCTCGTTCTATGTCTGTTCTGATGTGCTAAAGTGAATCTGTTTAGAGCCAGCAAAAGTAAGCATCCACTGTGGTAGCAAGAGCAAGGGCACTGAAGCCTGGCTTTCACAGGTCATGGCAAGACTGGTACGTGCAACATCCCTCCTCTGTGAACATTTGAGGTCTGTTGGCTTCCTAAAACTCCCCACAGCACTGCGACGTCCTGTGAACCCAGCAAGGATGTCTAGGAGCGTATGTCCTGTGAACTAAGCTATGGTTAAAGCAAACATCCTCTAACTCTGTACAGCCTCCTGTCTTGTCAAGAATAAATGGATTTCTTTGCAACAAAAGTGCGGTTTATTATTAGTCTGAAGTGAAGCAGAAGGCAGGACAGGGTGGTACCTTAGACACCAACTAGTGCAGAAAGGCATAAGCTTCTGTAGGCAACATGCCTGAACCAATAAGAAGCTGTTCCCACCCCTTGGAAATGCTGAGACAGCCCGTGAAGTGCAATATTTACAAACTGGTCATCTTTGGTTTAGTAGGTGGCAGGACACTCAGTATCTGAGAGACTGTTCAACAGCTTTCCTAGCTGTACAGTTGGTCCAGTAAGAGATCTGCTGTGGGGAGCATTTGCATTGTGAGGGTGGGGACTAACAACAGCTGAGGCTGCTCCAGATTAGTTGGCTGCAGTGTCCCCAACCACTGAAGTGACTGGGGAAGAACATAGTCTGGGCAGAACAGCATCCTCTTCCCTCCTCACCCCTGACCCAGTCTGCTCACTGGTGCCCACCAGCATGCCCACTTCACCTTGCAGAAGGCTGCTTGCACTGGGAGGCACAGGTGTGTCAGAAGGCGCCCAGTAGCCAGATGCTGAAGGATGAGTTTTGCTCTGCACAGCTTCAGAGAGTAGGATGGTCCAAGTGTTTGGGCACTGACACTTGGGAGCAGAGATAGGGCCAATTCCTTCCTGCACCCCAGGGCACTGGCTGTTGTCAGAGGCATTTGCTGCTCCACCCTAGGAGTGTGGAGTCACACTTCCATGCCCAGGTGTCCTTTACTGAGGTAGGCAGAGAAGGAGGGTCTGAAGGAAGGTATCCCCAGAAGCAAACTGAGCAGAAAATCATTTCTTACAGCCAGGCTTGATGTACAGAGACAGGAGCAGTGGCTAGAAGCAGCAAAGGAGCTGGGCTGACCCCATATATACAAGCCAGGAAGGCACCTCCATACTTAGTGAAGTGCCTAAACCTAGATTATGATCATCCCTAAGAGTCCAGCGGTGTCCTGTTCCAGATTACTGAATAGCCAAGTCAAGGCAGTTTCCTGCGGTAAGGGATCACAGCCATGATCCAGGGCAAAGATTTGACCCTGGGCTTCCCCTCAAGAAAATGCCTGGATCAGAGCATTTGAACGGCACCTGTCGGTTGTCCTTGAGCCATCTGAAAGGATCCAGGCCCACTGGCAGGGCAGGCAGGCTGCCACCTACTTGGAGCATCCGGCCCCAGGGGGCTCCTGGTGCTCCAGCAGCATTCGGGCAGGTTTGCACATACCCCCTGCAGAGACTTTGCTCCCCCGCACTTTCTCTGGGGGTCCTGAGCAAGCAGGGCAGTAGTGTGCACCACTAGTGCGGTTACAAGGGATCCAAGTAGAGCCCACAGGGTGTACAGGCTCTGCAGGCTGTGCAGGTACCGCTCCCCCCTTTCCAGGAGGCATCATGTGCGGTTCAGAGAGAAGCAAGCCTGGGAACTGCAGAAATTCCCCACTTCCTCAATGAGCAGGCAAACACGCATGAGGCCTGCTCTACAATGACCACCAGCAGTGACCTACCTTCCCCTCCACTGGACAGGAGCCCAAGAGACGGGAGAATCCTTTACTGGCACAACTCTTTTGCTTGTACACACTGAAGCCACCTCCCCACCTAGTTTTTCATCGTCCTCAAGAGCCCAGCAGTTCTGCCCCTGGGGTGCTGTGGGAAATGGGCAGCGTGCAGGCTATTCTGCACATCTCCCTGCAGAGACTTTGGGTGGTTACAGGGAAAAGCCCCAGCAGGGCAGGGGCTTAGTAAAGGTGGAAGCAACAGTTAAGCATTGAGGAACCAAATTATTGGAGCCTGGTTGCCATCCCTTGGCAGTGACACAGGAATAAAACCATGGTGCTGGGTGAGGTGGGGCAGGTCAGGAAAGCAGGTGTGTCCATCCGCACCGTTTATAGACAGTATGTCTTTCTAGGTTTAATCTGGACTACAGCCATCACTCTATACACGTAGATGTCTGCAGTCCAAATTAAAATTGGCTCCAGTCTGAATTAACCACGAATTAGGATTAAATTTAAAGCAGACTAGGGCAGCCCAGATTAGGCAACTAGAACTGTATTAATTAACATGTATATAGGGGAAGGAGCTAGGGCTTTCTGTTGCTCAAGCCCAGGTTTAGCAAATGAGGGCAGCTTTGTGGCCCCGCTTGAGTACTGGGCAAGGGAGGGATTTGCAAGTGTTGTTAGCATCACAATAAAAGGATGTTTTTATTTTTATATACAACCTTACTTATAGTGCTTTCTTTCCATGGGTGGATGAGCTGAGAGCAAGGGCGAGTTTGGCCAGAGCAAGACTGAGCCCTGAGCCCGTCTGGTTGTTCCCCCGCCCCGTGGTGACAAGTAGCAGCAGGATTTTTGGAGCCTGGTTTGCTGCAGTGACAAGTTCTTCCACGGGAATGGGCAAAACAGCCTACTGCGATGGCTCAGTCTGCAGCATCCCTGCCAGGCCGTGAGAAGGAGCTGGACTTGAGGCATCTCCCTGGTTAAAGTGGTCTATGCTTTTTTTCCCCCCACATGCCAAAGCCAGCGCTGGTGCAGCAGCCCCTTTCCCCCTGCCTGCTGCCAGAGTCTTTGGGCGGGAGCACCCCGCTCCACAGGGCCCCTTCAGCCGCTCTCTGCGGTCGGATACGGGGGCTTCAACACGCCCCCAACCACCACTTCCCTGAGCACAGAGAATTGGTGGCAGCTCCAACACATCCCCTGGGGAGCACAGAATCATAGAAAATGAGGCCTGGAAGGGTCCTCAGGAGGTCACATTTAGTCCAGCCCCCTGCTCAAAGCAGGAGCAGCCCCAACTACATCATCCCAGAAAAGGTTTTATCTACCTGGGTCTTAAAAACCTCCAAGGATGGAGACGCCACCACCACTCTGGACAACCTGTTCCAGTGTTTTACTACCCTCCTCGTGAGAAGGTTTTTCCTAATATGCAACCTAAACTTCCCATGCTGCAACTTGAGCCCATTGCTCCTTGTCCTGTCATCTGCCGCCACTGAGAACAGTCCAGCTCCATCCTCTGTGCAATCCCCCTTGAGGTAGTTGAAGGCTGCTATTCAATCCCCTCTCAGTCTTCTCTTCTCTCGACTAAATAATTCCAGTTCCCTCAGCCTCTCCTCACAAGTCCTGCCCCCCAGCCCCTGAGCCATTGTGTTGCTCTCCACTGGACTCTCTCCAATGTGTCCACATCTTTTCTGTACTGGGGGGCCCAAAACTGGACACAGCACTCCAGATGTGTCCTCACCAGTGCTGAGTAGAGGGGAAAAAATCACTTGCCTTGATCTGCTGGCAATGCTCCTACTCATGTAGCCCAGGATGTGTTTAGCCTTCTTGGCAACAAGGGCACAGTGTAGACTCGTATCCAGCTTATTGTCCACTGTAACCCGCGGGGCCTTTTCTGCTTAGCCAGTTGGTCCCAAGCCTGTAGCAGTGCATAGGATTGTTATGTCCTAAGCAGTTATTGAAAAAACCCAGCCCCAGGACCAATCCCTGGGCCACTCCACTTGATACTGGCTGCCAACTAGACATGAAGCCATTGATCACTGCCCATTGAACCCAGCACTCCAAACAGCTTTCGATCCACCTTCCAGTCCATTCATCCAACTCATACATCCTCAGCTTGCTTGCAAGAATGCTGTGAGAGATGGTATCAAAAGCCTTGCTAAAGTCAAGGTATATAATATCTTCTGCGCTCCCTACATCCACAAAGCCAGTCATCTCACCATAGAGAGGCAATCAGGCTGGTCAGGTATGACTTGCCCTTGCTGAATCACCTTCTTCTCCTCCAAGTGCTTAGAAATGGATTCTTTGAGGATCTCCTCCATGATTTTTCCAAAGACCGAGGTAAGGCTCAGTGGTCTGTAGTTCCCTGGATGATCCTTCTGCCCTTTGATGAAGAGCATGATCTTGTAGAGCACGAGCCAATGTCCTTCCAGTCAAGAGCTAAGGATGCTGCCTTGCAAGACTGTGTTAGGGTGCTGCTGGGCCAGACTGCCTGCATACCCAGCTCACGCAGTGTACCCAGCGTGCTTGGGTGGCTATGAAATCTGTGCGACCCTGTTCAGTTCCCTA